CAGCAAATCTCATTTCTCTTATGATCCCTTGTCATCAAAATCTAATTCCCTTCTTCCCGCCAACCCTCATATAAAAAAAAAAACAAAAGAGCATCACAGACTCACAACTTCAAAGACGCTACACAACAAAACAAAAAGAAAAAGAGAGAACCGAGAGTTTATTTTGAGAGATAATATGTGGTTTTGAGATGATGTAGGCAGGAGAAACCCGATGATATAAGTAGGGTTTTTTTTTTTTTTGAGACATGATGTTGGCAGGAGAGACCCGGTTGAAAGACACTTACGGCTTGACCACAACAGGTTCCATGTTGGGTGCAGGCGGGTTGTGGCGAGCGGCTTGCTTGGCGTGGACATCGCAGTATAACTTGTCATTGATGTTGTAGTAGCCTGCACGGTAGCATTAGGATTATCGATCGAGATAGGGGGGGGGTTAAGGCGTTGCTGCTTGTTAATATTATTCCTGTCCTTATCTTCTAGGTAACAAAGATTTTTTGAAGAAGAGAAGAATAGTTTGTTTTTTTCCCCCTCTCTCCATCTCTCTTTCTATTTTTTTATTTATTTCTTCAGCTTCTTCCTCTCTGCTAAGTTTGCTTCCTTTGTGGGTAATTATATGTGTGATGAAAGCAAGTGGGTCTTAAGCCTTTCATTCTTTCTCTCCCTCTAGGAAGAAGATGATTATTCATTAATTCATTCTATTTCACTAACATCTACATTCCTCTTCCTCCTTCTCCTCCATCCTTTCCAGTCTCTCTCCCTCCTTCTCCTCCTCTCTTCTCTTTCTCCTTCTACTCCTTCTCCTCCATGCCTTTCTACCTATCAGCTGAGAAAATTGAGAAAGAAAAAGAATCATAAAACACAATAATAATAATGGAATCACAGTGTGTCGCAGCCACTGATCTGAAAACCGAGAAAGAAAAGGTAAACACAACACCTTCGTAAAAATAGAGAGAGAAAAAAAAGATAAATGAATAAAAAAATAATGTGTACGAAAATGTAGTCTTTGATATGAAAGGAGATGACTAAGAGAAAATGGCTGATAATGAATGAAAAAGGGGGAAAGGGAGGGAAGGATGGACGAGGGGAAAAAAAGAAGGGGACCAGAAGGGTATCCAATTGACAACCAACCCTTCAAACGAAAATAGGGAAAAAAAAGAAAGAATACTAATAAGAAATAAGACCCCCAAAAAATGGGTGTGTGGGGGGGGGGAAGATAACCCAAATCAGCAGATAATGCGAAATGGGGGGGAGGGGGATGAAAAGAGACTTACCAACATTCTTGAGCGAGGAGCCACAGGTCGAACACCTGAAGCAGTCAGCGTGGAGGTTCTTATTCTTTATTCGCACGAACACGCCGCTGAAACGAACACGCTTACCGTCAGTCACACGCCTCGCCTGTCTCCGTGCCCCGCGCCTGCTGGTCCTGCTAGTCTCGCTCTCCTACTGACAGTTGCTATTCTCCTAGTTTTGCTAGTGTGACTCGTCTGCTGGTTTGCTAGGTTGGTATTTGCTAGTCTGCTATTTTGTTTGGATGGTTTATTTGTTATTCTGTTATTTTACTAGTCTGGTTTGTTGTTGTGTTGTTGGTTCGCTTGCCTGAATAAAAGTGCTATTTTCCTAGCTTGATTCATTTGCTATTCTGCTAGGATGGCATCTGCTATTTTGCTTGGATGATTCAGCTGCTAATCTGCTGTTTCACTAGTCTGATTTATTACAATTTTGTTGGCTTGTTTTCCTGACTAATCTGCTATTTTGCTAGTCTGACTCACCTACTATTCTGCTATTTTGCTAGCCTGACTCAACTGCTAATCTGCTGATCTTAATAGCTTACTACTTTAATGGCCTGTTGTCCTGCCATCTGCTATCTTGCAAACCCGCTACCTTACTACCTTGCAAATATTCTAAATTGATATCTTGCTGCCCTGCTATCCTAACTATACTGCTACCTTGCTACATTGACAATCTACTATTTTGCGGCTCTGCTAACTTGGCTATGTGCTATGTTGCTGTTTTGCCACACTGGTACCCTGCTATTCTGTTATTTTGCAACCCTGATACCCTGCAAATCTGCTATTCTGCAACGCTAATACCCTGTTAATCTGCTATTTTGCAACGCAAATGCCCAGTTAATTTACTATTTTTCAAACCTGATACCCTGCTAATCTACTATTTTGTAACTCTGATAGTCCTGTTAATCTGCTAATTTGCAACCCTGATATATTGCTAATCTGCCATTCATGAATCATATTTCTTATTACCATATCTTATTGTATACTATAACTAGCCTAACCTACGCCTAGGCGATACAATCCGTGAAGAAAATAGCTTCATTTATCATATCAAATAGAAAAAAATATCCCAAAACGGGATAGAAAGATATAGAAAAAAATAAATAAATCTATCTTCTCTTTAATTCCTCTTCCGATTCCCGATTCTCTTTTTTTTTTTCTTTCTCTTTTTAGTGCCACGAAAATAAAACTAAAAGAAAAGTGAAAGAAAGAAGAAAATTGTGTGTTTGTTTTTGTTTTTTCTCTCTCTCTATAAAATCTGCTGATCTAAGTGTCGACTAGCTAAGGTCTACTAGACGCAGGTGCCGGCGCGGGGTTTTTGCACTTCGACCCTGAACCGACTGCCGTGCCAAAGGGGGGTAGGGGGGGAGGGGCATGGGAGAGTTGGGGAGGGAGGGGGGGGGATGTATAGAGGGAGGGCGATACTTCATAAGATTAAAGAAAAGAAAGAAAAAAAAAACAAATATTAAAATGAATTGTGTTTTTTTTCCCGAAATGGATTATTGTTAGTTTAGTTTTAGGTTATGAATAAGTTTTGTTTGTTTGTTTGTATGTTTTAACCAAAAGGAATAGGGGGGGAAGGGGGTGTTTAGGGATGGGGAGGGAAGCGGGGGGAGGGGAGGAGATATGGAACTTTAAAATTGCAAAACTTTCGTGCATTGAGATCAACAGGTGTGACGGATAGGGCCGAAGTTGTGATGGTTACAACACCTTATCAAAAATGCTAATATCATCCATTATTTGGTCTTTGTGTGAGTCTCTTATAATCAATCTTATTTACAAGTTATTCATAAACAAGGTCAAGTGTTCAGTAGCATAACATTAATTCAAAGTTGTATATCAGAATATTAATCATGTCTATAAATATATACACAAGATGCGAAGATTGAGGGAGGAAAATTATATACATATATACATATATACGATTAGCACTAGACAGAAGTGTTGAGAAGAGTGGGCAAGGGGCGTGGGCGTGGGCGGCCGTCGCAGCTATCTCGGTCGCCGTGAGCTCCTTCGAGACGCTACCCTGGCGATTAGTGGGCGGGCTTCGCTGGCAGTGGGCGGTGGGGGGTGTATTGGGGGGCATTCGTGAGGGCAGCTCAAGGGGGGGCGTGTTGGGGTTAAGAGAGGGCCATGTGTTTATGATTAAAGGCTTCTAGGAGGTATTATTGTTAGGAAGTGTCTTCTAGCGCTTAATAGGCAGGTGTTCGTGTCTACCTCTAGGTGTGCTCGGGGTGTTCTGGACCTTGAGGGGGGGGAGGCTGGTGCCAATGGCAGTTGTTGCTGTAATCCGCTGGGAAGGTAGTTAAGAAGTGACTACCGGAAGCAATGCAGTGTTATTGTCATTAATGATTACGGTTCATGCTAGTTGCTAGCGCCGGTCACAACGCCGTGTGAGTTCGTGCGCCTTAACAGCGGCCGCTCAGCCCAGCAGTGGCAACGCACGAGGAAACTACGGTCAGTCAGTACCCGGGTGCAACAAGACGATTTTAATGCGCGTTTGGTAGCAATCCTACAAAGCCTTGGCTGGAGGAATCTTTCGCCGTCCTCTTCGCGCGCGCCCGCAGGCACCGGCGTCGCCTGCGCCGTCCTCCCGCTTCCCTCCGGGCAAATGCGAACGTAAGAGAGAGGGGCGCAGGTGCGAACCGCAGGTGCCGGCGCGGGCGCGGGCGTGACGAAGACCAAGATATTCTAAGAGATGGAGAGCGTCTCGACCGGACCAACGCGGGTACTCACGTAATGGGCCGCTCGCACTCGGAACACTTGGTCAGCGGCGCGGGGGAAGCCCCCCCCTCGGGCTTCGGTTTAGTCTCGGGGGCGCGCACGCTGCGAGTGCCGGCAGGGCCTGGCCCGCTGTCTGTGCCCGGAATAGAGGAACCTGTTACTACCGCCACCGAAGTGGATGAAAAAAGAGAGAGAACACCTCGCCGGGCGCCAGCGCCGCCGGCTCTGCCTCTGCCGCAGCCACAGCCGACGGGCAACGGCGGCTTCTGATTAAGAGCAGGACAGCAGGGAGTGAGTCTGTCTGCAGTTAGAGGCGGTGAGGAGATGCGGGCGGCGCGGGCGGGGCGAGGGCGGCCTCACGAAAGGGGTCGGACGCCCTAACACTTACGCCACAAATACTTACACGATGAGTCTACCACACTCTGAACAAATATTTTCTCCGGGTCGCAGCTCCGTCTTGGGCTTGCCCTGGGAGGAGGGGGCGGAGGAGGAGCGAGGTGCCGGGTGCAGGTGCGAGGGAGCCTCCTCTGGGAAACACAGTCACACGCCGTCACACACGGGGCACACAGTGATATTTACATGGCATGCCGATAAGAGATAAAGAGACAGAGGGGGAGGGGCGTCGGGGGGGAGGGAGACTGATAAGAGCAAGTGAAAATGACAAGGAAGACGAACAGCAAGAAAAGAATGATTCTGGAGAGCGGGGCCTTTGAACAGGACGATTTGTTAGCTGATCAACACAAGAGTTAAATCGATGGCAAATGGAGAGCGAATGATTTGTTTGTGTCAGTAAGTGTAGTCATTGCTTATACAATATGCACCTGAAAGGAAGTTTTTTGTAAATATACAACTTACACATCTACAACTACCAAAAATAATATACATTAAACTCACACTTTACGTACATATATATACATAAATATAGATATGTACACACACACACACGCACGCACACATACGCACACACACACATATATATATATATATATATATATATATATATATATATATATATATATATATATATATATATATATATATATATATATATATATATATATATATATATATATATATATATATATATATATATGTATATATACATATATATATATATATATATATATATATATATATATATATATATATATATATAATATATATATATATATAGTTATATATAGTTATATATACATATATATACACACACACACACACACACACACACAAATATATATATATATATATATATATATATATATATATATATATATATATATATATATATATATATATATATATACGTATATATATGTGTATATATATACATATATATACACAAATGCATATGTGTATATATACATATATATACATATATACATATATACATATATACATACAGACATACATATACATATATACATATATACATACAGACATATATATATATATATATATATATATATATATATATATATATATATATATATACATATATACATACATATATATATACTTATATACATATATATATACTTATATACATATATATTATCCCTAAATTATGCAAAATATCTACATTCCTGATAACTCATAATGATTACTTTATCATCTTCTAGATCATAGCTAAACACAAACACAACAATAAACATTAACCAATCAAGAATTCCATGACTATTTACCAAAGCTAAATCATCAATAAACATATATAATGGACAAGACTATTGGAAAATATCATATATATATTTATACACAAGAAGAAAGAGAAAATAGGCCATGGATATGCCATGCTGAAAATAACACATTCAAAATCAAACAGCGGATTCTTTTAGACTATAAACCGCTGTGTCTTTGACCATATGTCATCCCTAGAGGCATGTACACACTCAGAATATTTTGGAATCAAAACAAAACACAAGAAAACATAATACAGTTTGCAAATGAAAAGTAAAAAAAAAAAAAGAAAAAAGAAAAGAAAAAAAGATTGATAAAAAAAAGTAAGAGAGAGAGAAGATAAAATCCCACGGCCATGCAATTGATATATCATTCCATTATAAAATAAAAGGATGCAATTTAATAGAACAGAAGATCATGCAGAGACCATGCACAAAAAAAGTGGGTTAGGGCGGGTTCATGCATAGAGAAAGAGACTTAGCGACCGCAGGGTTATAACGCTTTTCTACAGCCCAGAAGCGGCGAAAAGTTAACATTATCTTAACTTTGGATTTTTTTTTATTTACTTACGGACTTGACTCTCGTTCAGCGGCGGCCTTAGCATTATTCTCTATCGTCTTTTGTTTCTTGCTCTAACTTACATGGATTATAAAAGAATCTTTTCTCGAGAGAATCTCTGAGCTTAGCATCACTGGCTAAATCATCTGATCCTCCATCGTTAATTGCCTAAAATAATCTAGCTTCAATATCTTTATTATTTCGAATCTACATCAGTCTGAATCCTTAAATAATCTTACACAGAAATTTCAAATCAAAAAGTTCAAAACAGTATAACATACAATGTAGATACGCAAAATTTTGTATGAAAATCAGTCATTACAACATATATTTAAATAATTTATGCATAGACTCTCATTGTATAAACTCTTTAATATATAGAGAGTGAGTTTATCATATATTCCATAACAGCCAATATTGCACTGATGAATAATCGTAATAAATAAATTTCCTCTGATATCTGCCTCTGATATATGGATTCGTGAATATAAAGTTTTTTTTTTTTTTTTTACCCTAAAACCAATTTTTAAAAAAATTACCGCATGAGATTACGAACAAAGACCTTTTTCATCCGTTTTGAATTTCTACAAACCTATTTTCAAGTATTTCCTATCTTAGTTTTATTTCTTATATTAATCCTCCCTAATAAAATAAACAGAGAAAATTTAAGAGAAGATTTAATTTTAATCTTCACAACAAAAAAAGCAAATAAAATAAAGGCTCAGTCTCATTCGCACGCTATCACTTCCTTCCTTAAAAGCTACGTCACTCTTGAAAGCAAACACTGCGTTTCCCGCGGTAAAAACATTTCCAATTTTGAGTCCCATTATCAAGCACAAATATGCCAATGGAAAGCAAGGAGATTCAGCCACTATTAACATCTAGAATAAGGACTAATTTAGGGTATCACCTGCTGTTATCATCCGTCATTAATGTGACTAATGCAATATGGGGGGGGGGGGGAGTAGCAGAACTTTTCTAAAATGTCGTGAAGATTCTAAAACATTCGCTTTTATTTTTTTAATGGGGAAGCTTGTTACATATATGAAAAAAAAATGTTAATGATTATGTCTCTTGACTAATTAGTGTATTGAAAGCTACATTGTATTAATTATTTTTTCTGTCTTTCTTTAATTATGCAGCTACTTCTAACCATCTAGTCGTTTTATGCAAGTCAGTTGGAGGATCCATTAAAAAAATATGCTAATTTGTTTCTCTCTAACTTTCTACTTCCATCAGTAAACTGTAAAGCGAGATTTCTTTTAGACCCAAGTTTGGAAAAAAAAGGGGTAACTGTATTACTATTATCAAAAATCAGAAAAAAAAACCTGAATATAAACCACATCGACATCGGTAAATGATCAACCCAAATTTACGTCTCTCGGAGTGACAAAAGGTAAAATAGAAAAAAAATACAGTTTGAATATAAAACAAAAAAAAAATGTATTATACCAGTGACTCCGAGTTCTGGAGTCAATAAAAAGGGACCATAAATAACATATTCTAGCCGACTATTGTGAATTTTAAAGTGCTTACCTTCTTGCATGTTGACGACGAAGAGATGGACAAGGGAAACCGGGCCACATCGATTACCTTCTGCTGACTTTTGTGATGAAGCGACCAAACATGACCTTTTTTTTCGCAAGTTGTCTAAGTATGCTACATGCTAGGTCAAACTTGGCTGGACTTCATTCTTTCTTTTTATTATTAAAATTATTTTGACTTTTTTTAAGCTAAAGATATTAAGATCTTTAGCTTATCATTCACTGGCTTGTTAGATTTTTTCCCCTTGACAAATGTTGTTGTTTATTTTTGTCTGAGGGTTTTAACATGAGTGTTTCTGAGGTGTTGGTGTTTTTTTTTTTTTGTGCTCATCAAAAAAATATTTTGAGTTATTAATATTTTTCGAAAAAAAATGCTATGAGAAGAAAATATTATTGGAATTATTCACCCTTACTGGTTAGTAATTGGAAATTTAAGACAAAAATCTCAAGTAGATCTAATAAAAAGCATTTCCAGTATCAAAAGCTAGGAAAAAATATGATTACTTTAACTCAAATTAATTATCTTTCCCCACGCAGACAATTACAAATACTACACCGCTAAAAGCACGAAACTACATATTTTTAAAAAATGCACAAATGTACAAAACAAAACTGAGTGAAAATTAAAGTTCGACAAAAAAAAACACGAACCCCAGAAACACACATGATGATACTGCCATAACGTGTACAAGATCCAAGTCTGCTTCAAACAACCCTTAGGGACGCTTGTTCAGGCCTCTTTACCATAATTCGAAGGGACAACATGATAAATACACATATATATACGTATATACATGTACATATATATGTACATATACATCTATAAGTCTCTATATACATGAATTAGTCCCTAAACGAAAATTGAAAACAAAAAAACAAAAGAATGACGATTCAAGATGGCGGTGAACAAGCCTCCCCAACTTTGCTCAGGACACGAAACCAAAGCCGTTACCCATAAGAAAATGCTTAATGTGAAATGTGTAGATAAATCATACGAATAACCAGATAAAAGAATTAAATTAAATAAAAAGCAATAATCAAGGAGAGAGAAAATATATATATATATAAATAAACGGTAAATGAAATAGATATTACAATATTAGTTCCGCAATGTCAGATTACAACAAAAGTAAAAAAAAATAAAAAGGATAGAGAGTCAAGAATTATAATGGTGCCGCATGGAGCATTAGAAATCATAAAAAAGCTTATTAAACATGCAGTGACTCATTGTTTTTGAAGAGTATAATTACGGCAGTAGAAAGAAAATATAATAATATTGGAACATGACTCTAGGCATTTTGTCACTTGATTTTGAATTTAAATTGTATGTTTTTCGTTAAAAATATCTCGGAACACAGGTGAGAATCATGGCATATTGTGTTAACAGTTATCCCAGTTACACTAATATTAACTGTAATAAATTGGTTAATCTGATCCGTGATTTTGTATCTGTGATGATCTGTACACATCTGACCAGCTGATTTGCAACTGCACAGGTTGACAAACCAGTAAATAGCAGTAAATGATTTTAATGTCGACAAGTTTCGTCCATATATATTTTTTTTTTAGCATTTAAGTGACTGTTCGCAATGCATGTTATGCTTTTGTTAAAGTTATTCATTCTAAATCTAATGTCAGAAAAAGGAAACTATACACAAAAGAAGTAATTTCACAAGCTTAGTATATTCAGTTGCCTAGAATCAAATTGCAATCAGCTGGATAGCAGACGAATTATTCTGTAATTCTGCTTCTTGTGTATTTTGACGTTATGGGCCACTGAATTTTATTTGATACTTGTTCTCTAGTATAGTGACAAGCACTTCTTAATCAACGAGCATTATAGAAGCCAATTAGTTTCCCCGTGAATTAAACTGATCCGGATAATATCATCGTTTTCCTCCTTTGATTTGATTTAATGGTCAATTTTTTTTTAGCGCAGCCCTCCCTTGACTCGATGCGCCGAAGACCGTTCTACTCGCGGTCCCTAATTCAGTGATCGAACAATGACTTCCGTGTCCTGGCAGACCTACCTAGTTCCGGGTCGCCTTGGAGGGACTGCTGGAGGAGCTTGAAGGAATAACCTTGGACTACATTCTTGTCCGGGGACGCGAGGTTCGCTACCTCACCTTCTGTTTCCGGGGCAGGATTCTTGTCCATCTCCTGCACCATCCGCAGCACGTCCGAGGTCTTGCCGTCGTATTGCTTTTCGTTCTTCATGAAGTTGACTCTGTCGGGCGGCGCGCCAACGACAGGAGGGCGGGTGGTGGGTGTGGCAGGCAGGTGAGGGGAGAAGAGAGAGAAAAGGGGACCGGGCGTCAGGCACATCATGCAATAAAACTCAAAGTGGAACACGACAGAGAGAGAAAATTATGACTTCTTAAGATTGAAAAAAAAAAATGCCACACTCACACACGCAGTCACACGCGTTACCCCTTCGAGAGAAAGACGGGGCTTTAAAATGGCTGAACCTGAGCCTCCTGCGGACGGCTCCCCGGGTTCAGCTGTCAGGGTGTGGAGGCGAAAGGTGGGCATGCAAGGCACACCACTCGACACTCGGCACGGCGGATGCAGCACACTGACGGAGCCACGGGGGGAGGGGGGAGTGAAGGAGACTTAATGGGTGCTTGGTTGGAGCAAAGAAGAACACAACTAAAGAAGAGTGTGGATGCAACGGTTGGGCGAGCGACAGGTCACCTGACTCTCCCTGCTGGGGCGGCTTGGCAGGGGCCGCGGCCGGGGCAGGGGCCGCGGCCGGGGCAGGGGCCTGCTTGGGGCGGCCGAACACGGTGGTCGGGGGCGGAGGCTCGTTGCTCTTGTCGAAGGGCGAAGCTGGTGGGGGGCGGGCCCTCCTCGGGGGTTCGTCCTCGTCGCCGTGAATCAGTTTGTACGTGGGCGACTGCGTCTGAATCACGGTCTCCCGCGCGTACTTCTTGAAGTTGATGCTGCTCAGCCGCCGCCGCCACACAAATGCACACGCAGACAGACACAGACACGCACACACGATAAATGCAGATTCATAAGAGTGAATGGGCGCAGAGTTGTGCAAAAAGTAATATCAGCAAATTGAAGTGACGACTCAAAATGACATTTTCTCTCATCGCATGACTCAACGCAAAATAAGAACAAAACAACTTAAAAAGAAAATGAAATGGTGGCGCATGAGCTGATGGGAAATTAGCTGAAGACGCAACTTTGGTGATGTTTGTATACTTTGTCTTCATTATTCTCCTAACCAAAATGAGCTGGGTTAATGTATGGAAGTGGAACATGCCACAAAATATAAAATACTAAACTAAAATAAAACAAAATTAAAGAAAACAAAGAATTAAGGTAAAAGCAAAAAATTAAGGTAAAAAAATCATCTAGTCTAAAAATTTGTCTCGAGAGATCCAGTGTCGCATAAATTGCTATGACCTTTCTATAATAAAAATATATATGTAATAACATCAGAGTAGGAAAAAAATAATTTTAATATCCTGTAGACACCTAGTACAAAAAAAAATTATCAGTATACACAAGCATACCTTTTCAAAAAAAATCTACGCTAAAATATCCAAAAAAAAAAAATTGCATTGACATTGACATGAAACTACCAGGAGTGGGAAATGGCTCGAAAACATGACCAAGAAAGGGACACGTGAACATAAAAAAGTGACGTAGGCCTACCCAAGACATCCCTTGCCGAGGACTTCAGCCTGAGCGGAAAGAGTCTCGGCGATGTTGTCCTCGCTGTACAGGTTAAGAGGGCTGTTGTACTGAGCGTTGACAATCTGCTGCCCGTTGACCTGTGGAGACCGTCAAGCGTCAGTGACATTTTGGATTATGGGCTTGTCTTGACCCCGAGATAGGCTAGGGTCGGTGGCCTTGCTCGGGGTTCGTGAGGGGGGGTGTGATGGAGGTCAAGTTGGGTCAAGGGACGGAGGGAATGATTGAATTTATAAAACAAAGGAATAGAAGTTGTTGTTTTTTACATTCATGGAGGAAGAAACAAAGGAAGGGGATCAACGTGAAGCATTTTTTTATATATAAATTAGATTATTTTGAAGTATTTTAATGGATTCTGAGAGTCGCCATAGCCGGAAGAATAGTTGAGTGTTCGGCATTCAATTAGTGATTGCTATCCTTTGTGTATATAAACAGTTACCATGACACAGAGGTCCAACCATGCACAGTCATGAAGATAATACAATTCCAGAGATTAAACTAAAAAGCACATTTGATTATGCTTATTATTCAGTTTTCTTCTCCAAAAATACAAAACAAAAAATCGAGACTGGTGTGCACTACACAGCAGCAACTAAGTATGACATGAAAAATATATATTTATATTTGTTATATACAGACGAGGTTTCACTGCCATCGCTACGTTGCAGACGCAAAATAACGCCAGAGTCACAAAACTACCAAGACCACACTGCCGCTCGTCCAGATGCACTGATCCTAACATGCTAACAAGGCAATGGCGGCCGTCGTCCTCTCGGCGGAGGCGGCGACGGCGGCGGCGACGGAACACTACACGAGGACGCGGAACAAGAGCATACAGGAACAGCGCCTCACATACACTACTACAGGACTTAAGGGTTGGCGAGGGAGGAGGAGGAGGAACTGCACACACAAGTGTTGGGTCCCATAACCTTTTAATTTTTTAAAATTCATATTTATTATTTTCATTTTTGAGCTTTGTAGAAACAACACTACGAACACGACAGGTCGAGGAGGCTCCATGCTAAGCCGGTAAAAAAGGGGGCAAAAGGGAAGACAAGCTCAAGACAAAACCAACAGCGACATGAAAACGACATCGAACAGTACGAAAGCTCCACAGAGTGGCGGATCCTTCACCTCAGCAAAAGGGACGGGAGCCTTGTTGAATGCTGCTCCAACAGGAGGAGCAACGTTCTGGAAAAGGGGACGTCGGAATGACTCATTACACAAGAAGAAAATGCTGGAGGAGGAAAAGGGGGCGTCGGAATGACTTATTAAACAAGAAAAGAGGAAATACTGGAGGGGGGAAAGCTACACACTGGTTGTTTGGGTTCTTCCTGAGTTTACTGGCATTGTGTTCAAGGGCGGAGCGTGATGAATGCAAGAGAATAGTGCAAGAGAGGGTTTTTAGGTAGATATCGGGGGGGGGGGGGGGTACACTTACTGTGTGGCATACAAGAGAAAAGGGTTGATTTTATTCTGAATTATTAACAAAATTAGGATTTTAGTTACAGATTCTGAATAACTTTAGTACTTAGAAGTGAAAGTTTTTTTTTTATCTATATATATATACAGTATAGAAACGCAATGTATTTCTCCGACCCGTCATCGCCGCAACTGCAAACTCCTGCAAAATAACAAAGGAAAGTTAAGTCATTCTACCCTACACTCACGTACCGCAGGTTGATAATAATCCCCTTTACCTGAAGAGGAGAGCTAAATCTAAATCTAAGTCCCAAACCGCATCACCTTGTCCCTTTCCGCCACCACGAAGAGAGAAAACGAAAGGCGGCGGACTTCGCTACCGTCTTACTTCATTGTTCCTCCGCGTGAGGGCGTCGTGGTCGGTGTCTGAGCTACTGCAGCTCGAGGCGTTACTGGCCAGCGAGTACTTGCGGGGCTGGCCGACGCTGCCGCCCACCGCCCCGTTGTTGTTCAGGAACTGGCTCGAGAAAAGGTTGTCGTTGCTGTTGGACTTCTGCGCCTTCTGCGAGGTGGCCGAGTTCACGTTCATCGAGTTCACGTTCTCTTTGTCCAACGTCATCCTGAGGAAATTTTTGGCGTTCTCCTTATTGAGGGAGATGCTCGTGCCCGGGACGGCGAGGCTGCCGCCAGTGGGGCTGGTACTCCCGGAGGCGTGTCTGGAGGAGGAGCGGGAGGAAGAGGACGTGGTGTTGCCGCCGACGCCGCCACCATTGAGGCTCGGGGCGTCTGTGGTGCTCTGCTTGAGCTGGTTGAGTGTGACCACGCCCTTGGCATAGGCGGGCTGGGACCCCGTGAATCCAGGGAAGGGGCGCGCCACTGTGTTGTGGTTGGACCCGATGTGACGGACGGGCTGCGGGGGAGGGAGAGAGGAGAACACACGGGGTTAATAGACACGCGGGTGCAGGGTTAGGGCAGGGTACAGGCAGCTAGTCACTTCTTTTGATTTCCTGAAGAGTACTTTCGTTTAAGTTATCCAGGGAACTTCAATAAACAGGTTAACTATAAAAAAAGAAAGAAAATTCAGGAACACAAGAAAAAGAAAAATGTTATTTCCAAACTAGCTGATTTGGGGAGATATTCTCCGGATTTATTATTAACAAAAGTAAATAAAAAAACAGAAAGGGGAACAAACCTTTTTCAGACTCTAATACGTCACCTACATTGGGGAAAAAATAAAACTAGCCAAATCTACAACTAATTACTAGAACAAAAAAAAAAAAAAAAAAAAAAAAAATCGATAAAAACACACAGATAACCAATAAAGAATGTTTAAAAACACCAATTGTATTTTTTTCTTTTTTCTGGAATGTCGAGAAAGCAGCCTTCAAAAGCATGCTGGCCAATATTAGTGAGGGAAGGAAAGGAGCATTATATCATCACTTAAGAATTTCCTCTATCTGAGCATGCGATAAAAGCTATATACAAAAAACGGATTCATATAATTTGGACAAAAAAATAAAACTAAAAAAATTAACAACTGCCATGCCTAGTTTCGGACAAATATTAGTACATAAAACACATTATTATTATTTTTTTATCATATAATTCTCTATTATAAACGACCACACTCTAACGAAACGAAGTGCCTGGATGTGTTTACCGAAGGATCCATCAGCCTCGTTGCGTCTTCCTTATCAAGTCTTCCTTATCAGTCTTCCTTATCATGTCTTCCTTATCAGTCTTCCTTCGTCATGTGCTGTTCTTGCGCACTCTTAGTCATTCAGGGACCTCAAGGAGCAGCGTCATTCGTCCTCGAGTTCACGTTGTTCGAAGCTTGGTCTCGTTTCGTCTCGTCTCGCTTTCGTTATATATATATTTTTTTCGTTTCATTGTCTGGTGGCGTCTGTTTATGTTGTTGTTGTAGTTTTTTTATCATTATTTATTTATTTAACCGTTGCACTTAGGTTGTGGAAGGAGTGAATGATTTACTTTTTTCAGGGTACACTTACATGAATTATTTTCTGCTTTTGAAAACAGGGTCTTTCTCACCTTTTTTTTTTTTTACCCTGCGTCTTTATTTAGCTTGTTAGCCTGACTAGAATTATGCCTAACATCAGGAGATAAAGAATTGAAAGGCATAAAGAACAGCTGTTATATCGTTATTATTCCTGTTTTGATTCGTTTTCTCTGGGCATCTCTGAGGAAAATGTTCCATGTTTGTCTATGTACAAAGAGTTATTTTTTGAAGCCTTATAAGATTAATAATTTTCAGTGCCTCAATGTAAAAAGAGTTAATAACGTTTGTCAGTTGTCAATTTTGAGCTGATGATAGTAAAAAATACTTTGAAAGCATTTAGGCCTTTATCTCAGTTATTGTTGGCCCTAAACTGACGGTTATGTGTTGAACCAAATGCTATATCATTGCTCTATATTGCGAGGAACATAACCTAAAAACATTTAGATCACCTGAAGAAGATACCAGTACACACAGATAAATAAAAGAACACTGAAAGAGAAATAGTAATAAAACTGAAGTCACTCTTAACCAGCGTCTCTGCATCACCGAAGGCATCCCTGTAACTCCCAAATTCGAATCATTAATCCATGTTCCTAGAAACTAGATAAAGACTTAAGTAATCCCCGTGGGAGCTTACCTGCTTGTTGGCAGCAAGAGAGGTCGCCGTTGCAACAGGGACGCCCTCGGGAGTCGTCTTAACTTCGGCCAGAGGAGTGACTTGTGGCTTCCAAGTGTTGACACCCCTGCAACAGAAGGCAGAGCGTGAGTGGTCTTTGTGCTTGTAGGTGAATGTTGTTGCTATAACCCATCCCGCTGAATTGCTAATAGCAGGTTTCATAGCATTCACTTATCCAACTTTTAATATCCATAAGATATTATAAAGGAAAGTAGCTTACTACTAAAATATATACCCCCTGGTAGTGGATAAGTAAGTTCTTGATAATAAGTTGGAGCGAGAATTTATCTTTTCGTATCCTATTTGTTGTATATATGTAAGTGGTAGAAAATAATAAAGCATGGTTGGCTTTAATATATAACTAATGCACACGATCAAACATCTTTGACATCAATTTCCATCGCATTTAGAATATGCACAGAACATGGTAACCCGCGGATGAGGGGAGGGAAGACGGCTCTCAGCGAGGATGCTTGAGCAAGCACCCTTACAGTGTAACGTGATACGAGGCAAATATACTGCATTCGCATCACGTCTCTCTCGTGCCGACCCTCTTCACGCTGCCTTCGCTCAACGAACACGGCGTTAATAACGTATAGCGAATTTGAACCATCTTTCAAACCCGGCTGACAACAGTGGGTGTCGACCCAACCACCAGCGAAGACACTTAACGAACTCGCGTAAATAATCAAATCTCTTGAGTAAACAAACAGTTTTATTGGAAAGGTGGCACTTCAATTTCAAAACGAAGCTTGTGATTTCGTCTTCGCCGCACCGATAGGGATGTCTCGTCGATGTTCAACATATTTCTCATTAATAACTACTCTCCGTAAGCATTTCGTCATGAATTATTGGTGTTATTGCTTTTTTATGTTTATAATAACGTCTTATGGAAGTCCGGTATGCCATGATAAGGTATGCACAGGACGTCTTATCCACCGTGCAATATCTGAAGCAAAGGATTTTGTTGCCGGTTACATAAACCAGCCGAGAGTGTGAGAAATCTATGCCTTGCGGGAGGTGCGTCTAGAGGTGGTGAGGTGGGGGATGTTGGGGTTGGGGGGAGCGGGAGGGGTTGGGGTTGGGGAAGCGGAGTCGAGAGAGCTGGGGGGGGGGAGGTTGGGGTTGAAGGGAAGCGGGAGAGGTTGGGGGTTGGGCGTGAGCCGAGAGAGTCAGAGGTTGGGAGAAGCGGATTCGACAGAAAGTTCTGCTTTCTTCTTTCGAGCAACCGTCACCACATCCCCCTCCTCCTCCTCTTCTTTCTCTTTCTCCTCTTTCTCCTCCTCTTCTTCCTCTTCCTCCTCCTCTTTCTCTTCCACCACCACCTCCATCTCCACCACCACCACCTACTCCTCACCCTCCTCTTCCTCCTCTACCACCACCATCTCCTCCTCCTCCTCCTCCTCCTCTTCCTCTTCCTCTTCCTCCTCCTCCTCCTCTACCTCCTCCTCCTCCTCCTCTTCCTCTACCTCCTCCTCCTCCTCTACCTCCCCCTCCTCCTCCTCCTCCTCCTCTACCTCCACCTCCACCTCCTCCTCCTCCTCCTCTACCTCCACCTCCTCCTCCTCTACGTCCACCTCCTCCTCCTCCACCTTTACCTCCTCCTCCTCCACCTCCACCTCCTCCTCCTCCACCTTTACCTCCTCCTCCTCCTCTACCTCCTCCTCCTCCTCCTCAAGGTGACGTCTACTGACAACCAGACCGAGTATGAGAGAGGCACCCTTTGTCTCCTCGAACTGTGCCCGGTGTGAGAACCCTAACGCTCCTGCAGTTTGTTTGTCCTTCGGGAAATAAATAATGCCATGATTATTTGCGCAAGAGCCATTTTTGAAAGCGGTGCCGTAACCTAAGCTTGCGACTGACTCATCTTATGCCCTGGGTATCGCATGCCCTTTAAAAGAGGGGGGAGGGGGGGATAGATGCATGGGCAGATACAGATTGGGTGTGAAGTTATGTGCAACGGCGGGTGAGAGCATTTAAATTCCTCGCTTCTCCCTCTCTCTCTCTATCTCCCTCTCTCTCTTGCTTTCTCTTTCTCTACTATTCCCCCCTCTCTCTCTCTCCTCTCTCTTTTCTCTCCTCCCTCTCCCTCTCCATCTTCATCTTCTGTCTCTCTTTCTCTTTCTCTTTCTCTCTATCTCTATTTCTATCTCTCTATTTCTCTATTTCTCTCTCTCTCTCTCTCTCTCTCTCTCTCTCTCTCTCTCTCTCTCTCTCTCTCTCTCTCTCTCTCTCTCTCTCTCTCTCTCTCTCTCTCTCTCTCTCTCTCTCTCTCTCTCTCTCTCTCTCCCTCTCGTTACGTATCATTACAGCGATCACTACTCTCTCTTACCATCTCCATTCTGCCAGTTCATATAGCCGATATCCAAATTTACATAACAGATGTAGATATAGTCCGTCATCAAATGTTACTATATTCCCTTTGACTCCCCTCCCCCCCGCCCCCCATCCTTCGATCCAAGTACAAAGGTAAGGTGGTCCTGTCAAGACGGCCAGCGGGGGTCAGGAGGTCACAGCAGGAAGTCAGGTCAAATGGGCAGATTAAGAGGGATTAGGCGAAGACGTTAATCTACATTTTCAAAATCAGGATATAACAAAATAATCGAAGGGACATTAACATAAGTAACAGTAGTGATAAAGTAAATATAGTGCAAATCGAATTGTATTTCTTTATATCTGTGGTCCCTTGCCTCCGAGGACGCGGCTGACGTCATTGTTTGAGTTACAGCCTGTCACAGAAGTGACATGGTGTGACGTGTTCTTCGAAATGCTTGGAAATTATTTTCACAGTTTCTGCTTGTTTGCAATGGAGTTATACAACTTCACTCTCCTTTATAATCACCTTCCCACATGCTAAAAATCGAAACTAGTAATGATTCTAACCATCTTGTTATATTCTAATGCATTTCCAAAATAGGGGATAAAAACAAAAATATTTATACCGGCGGGAACTCCAGGCGTGATGTCCTTTTAGCTCGGACACAATGGCGCGGAATCAAAGGTGTGACTTACGTATTGTGACCAGATTATGGCGCTGGCCTCGCCTGTCTCGCCATTAAACCTTCCGTAGCTCGAACTAGGTCACAAGCACTGACTCCTATTACTTCGACCGAATAACAACTGTGAACACACCGTTTTAAAAAACAAAATCGATTATTTTCTCAAGCTGATCGGACTGAGATTCCGCACAGAAATTCTTGAATCAAGATTTTTTCTTTCTTTCTTTTTAGTTGACCGAATTCCGATCAAAATAGAAAAATTGTCAAGACTGGTTAAACTTACACCAACCCTTTTGTAGACTTCGTGGTAGAAATTCTTGAATTTAAATCGGTTAAATACTTTTTGCATTGGCTGATATTAACACAGGAATTCTGAAATGAAAGTGTATTTGTTGATGATAAGACAAAAAGTGATTTTCGTATCCCTGATTATCTTTGTACATATCTGTTGAAATATTAATATGCAAAGTATATAAATTTTGAACAAACTCCTTTTCCTTTTTTATTGCTTATTACATTTATCATCCTATCTATCTATCTATTGATCAGTCTATATACATATCCATCTACCTGTCTACCTGTTCGTCTACTTCTGTACGTGCCCGTCTGTCTATCAACTTGTTCAACGATCTATCTACCTGTTCATCGATCTATCTACCTATCCATCTGTCTATCTACCTGTCTTGCTATCTACGATTCATTAATCAATTTTCCGATACATTCATCTATTTCCATCCTTCATTATCTTTCCCCTGTGACTTATAACGGACCAAATAGATAGCTGTTCGTCCCCTCACCTCCTCCCTTTCCCCCCCCACCAACCCTCCCCCTCACCCCCACCTCCTCAACACCTTTACTTCCTCACCCCCCTCCCTTTCCTCTCCCCCCTGCTACCACCTCCTCACCCCTTCCCCCCCTCCACCCCCTCCCCCAACCCGTGCACTCAGGGCCTTCGTGACTTCCAGCAACAGCCGCAGGAGCCGTCTAAGCCTTCTAAGGGAGACGAGAGCGTGGTTTTATCAGCGGCGCCGGTTAGATATTCAGCACGGGCGTATTTGGGTAAGGTTTATGTATGGCGCACGTCGTTGGGGGGTATGGGGTAGGGGGAGGGAGGTAAGGAGAGGAGGGGAGTATTCTCTCCATACGTCTCGTCTTCCCCGCCCCCCCCCCCTCCTTCTTCTCTCTCTTTTTTTTTTTTTTTTTTTTTTTTTTTTTTGGGGGGGGGGGGAGTTCTCTCTTGTTCTTGTCTTTTTCATTTTTTTTCTATCTTTATTTTTATTTCTCTTTCTTTTTCTTTTTCTCTATCTCTCTCCCTCTCCTTTCCTCTTTCTCTCTCTCTCCCTCTTTCTCTTTCCCACTCTCTCTCCCCCTTTCTCTTTCCCACTCTCTTTTCTCTTTCTCTCTCTCTCCTTCTTTCTCTTTCCCACTCTCTCTCTCTCCATCTTTCTCTTTCCCTCTGTCTCTCTCTCCCTTTCTTGCTTCTATAATTCGCAGTCTGCTTAGAGGCTTAATTTTATGATTTTAGTTTATAATTAAACCAAAAAAAAATCAAACGTCCTTGTAAACGAACCATAAAGTTTACAGTTTTAGCTCTGCCGAATTATTTATATAAAAAAAAACGTAATTAGTGGCAAGGAGAAAAAAAGAAAGATGTTTTTTTTTTCCTTACATAAACATCTACACACCCTTCCATTACTCGTACAAGACAGACACGTTCTTTAAGTATTAGTCAAAGTACGATTCTGGCAACACTTATGGAGGTAGTGTTGCCAAAGAAGAGAGAGAAGAGAGAGAAGAGAGATTGAACGAAGGAGAGACAGAAAAAAAAACACGCTCACACGACTAACATTCCTTTATAAAAATAAACACATAAATCGAATAGGGAGAGAATAAACATTTGTATGTAGAAATTATCTCGATTTTAAATGACTCGGAGTTGACCTAAGGTTTCGCTTTTTTTTTTTTTTTTGGTGAAGGCAAGGGGAGTATAATGAATTGGCATTGTCTTCGTGCTCGGTAAGATTGGCATTGTCTTGGCCTTGTGAAAACGGGAGGAAGAGGAGGAGGA